AGCAGGAATTTTGATCCTTGTGTAAATTGTTTCCTTAAAGCCCTTGTAGTCAACATGTTAAACAAACTAACCAACCAGTAAAAGGAAATCTGACTGACAGCAAACTAGCCAACCAGCAAAAGAAAACCTGACTGACAACAATAAAACCATTATGGTTTTTAACCAAGATGTGCAAAACTAAATGGCCCGTGAATGCATTTGTTACACAGCTAATAAAGGGGTCTAACTGCCCACTTTGGGGAGGTTAGTGTTTAGCACTACTATGTTAAAAGTCCTCTCTGGCAAAGTGGTGCACAGAAAAACTTGCAATGAATTTCACTTTGATTTTGCCATTTAGCAAATGATGCATCTTCTGTGAGACTCAGTTTATTTACTTAGCCCAAGAGAACTTTCTACAGTGATGGAACTGTTACATAACTGCACTGTCCAATGTAGTAACCACTAGCTATACGTGGCCACTAGGCACTTGAAATGTGGCTAGCACAACTGAGGAACCAAATTTCTAATTTTATTTTATTTTATTTTATTTTATAATAGTCACATGTGTCAAGTTGCTGTTGTACTAGACAGCACAAACTTAGACACATTTCATAATAACAGGATCGTTTTGAGGACCATGGGATATGTGTCACAAGTGAGTGACATTTTAAAATTATTGATTCAAGGGGATGTTTAGTCTCTGCTCTACTTCAGAATTTATTATATAGTATGCTCCCAGAAAAAGTACATATATATATATATATATATATATATATATATATATATATATATAAAATCATTGAAGAGATAGTGCCCTAGCCCTGGAAGAAAGTACAGCTGTGAGAACTTCCATCCTGATTGAGAGGGAGGAGGCTCACAAATTAAGTAGATCCTGGTACAAGAAAAAAGGTGGTTTTATATTTTAGCATTAGGAAAGAAAGAGCACGATAAGGATGCAACTAATGCACTATAGCCTTTGTAGCTATTTTCCAACACAAAAATTAGGTTGCATGATCTGATTTTAGGATATTTTGTGTATGATTTATGAATTTTGTGGGGGTTAAAATAGGATATGGAAAGTCTTAATTTATACAGGCATATCAGCTCACCTTTGCAAAAGTAATACAATTTTATGGAATAAGGTTTAAAAGTTGGCTGAAAAGACGAATGCTTCAGGTGACGTCTTGCCCCACAGCTTCAGGGAAAAGAAAGGAGGTCCATGGATGCAGTTCTGACAAGCAGACTCCCACCCCTGAACTTCCTTGATTTAGACCTGCTTCTCCCAACTTTTCTCGATCTCAACATATTTGAGAGTTTCTAATCCATGGTAACACAGATCTGGACAGGGTGAGGGATCACAGCCTCTCTCATGGGTGAAAACGTGGCAGAGGCAATCGCTGGGAGGCGTGAGTCTAAAGCAAGCTTTGCAAAGAATTTACTTGACTAAACTGAAGAGGAGGGAATCAGTATTAAGCAGGCATTCTAGATCCAGTGGGGCTGCACCAAGTCACTGCATGCAGGCCGACACGCCATAGGGTGCATTTTCTCCTGGAGGAGCTGCTCAGGTTTGAGGAGAGCCTGTGTGTCTCATGTGCACTGGTGCCCTTTTACAGTCATGATGTTGTAGACGGTGACTGCAGACACTATAGGCACTGTGAGCGAAAAGAACAAAGAAAATTCACTGTCCTTCCTCTTCCTGGTGCTTGCATTCATTGTAGGACTGTCTCTAACATTCAGTGTCATCATGAAGCTATAAGCTTCGGACCTCTCACCCGCCTTCCAGCTTGGTCAGCCTGTCCCTGGGTTCTAGCAGCTCCTAGCAAAACCATATTGCATGAAACCTCAGTTCTCAGAAACATCCTCCTGTTCACAATACTTTTAAAGTGACTTGGGGGGCATTTGGTTCTGGTTGAATTCTTTATTGGAGAGTTACAGCTCAAGCATTTATTAAGCAAACAATTATTGTGCGTATGGTTATCAAATAGTTCTTGCCTTAGAGTAGCTCTGAGTCGGGGAGGAGGACATAATCGCAGATGAATAAAAAAATACAAGGTGCCAAAAACAGTGAACCTCTCCAGGCTATTCTTGCAACTTCCTGTGGATTTATAGTGATTTCAAAATTAGAAGCTTTATAAAAATAAAAATAAACAAATAGGACCTAATGAAACTTAAAAGCTTTTGCACAGCAAAGGAAACCATAAACAAGACAAAAAGACAACCCTCAGAATGGGAGAAAATATTTGCAAATGAAGCAACTGACAGAGGATTAATCTCCAAAATATACAAGCAGCTCATGCAGCTCAATATCAAAAAAAACAAACAGCGCAATCCAAAAATGGGCAGAAGACCTAAATAGACATTTCTCCAAAGAAGATATACAGATTGCCAACAAACACATGAAAGGATGCTCAACATCACTAATCATTGGAGAAATGCAAATCAAAACTACAATGAGGTATCACCTCACACTGGTCAGAATGGCCATCATCAAAAAATCTACAAACAGTAAATGCTGGAGAGGGTGTGGAGAAAAGGGAACCCTCTTGCACTGTTGGTGGGAATGTAAATTGATACAGCCACTATGGAGAACAGTATGGAGGTTCCTCCAAAAACTAAAAATAGAACTACCAAATGACCCAGCAATCCCACTACTAGGCACATACCCTGAGAAAACCATAATTCAAAAAGGGTCATGTACCACAATGTGCATTGCAGCTCTATTTCCAATAGCCAGGACATGGAAGCAACCTAAGTGTCCACTGACAGATGAATGGATAAAGAAGATGTGGCACATATATACAATGGAATATTACTCAGCTATAAAAAGAAACGAAATTGAGTTACTTGTAGTGAGGTGGATGGACCTAGAGACTGTCATACAGAGGGAAGTAAGTCAGAAGGAGAAAAACAAATACTGTATGCTATCACATATATATGGAATCTAAAAAACAAAACAAAACAAAAATTGGCTCTGAAGAACCTAGGGGCAGGACAGGAATAAAGACGCAGACATAGAGAATGGACTTGAGGACACAGGGAGGGGGAAGGGTAAGCTGGGACGAAGTGAGAGAGTGGCAAGGACATATATACACTACCAAACGTAAAATAGATAGCTAGTGGGAAGCAGCCACATAGCACAGGGAAATCAGCTCAGTGCTTGGGATAGGAAGGGTGGTAGGGAGACACAAGAGGGAGGAGTTATGGGGATGTATGTATATGTATAGCTGATTCACTTTGTTATACAGCAGAAACGAACACACCATTGTAAAGCAATTATACTCCAATAAAGATGTTAAAACACCCCCCCCACACACACACACACACAAAACTATGGGAGCAGGAGTGACTGCCAAAGTGTTGCTTCTGCAGAGATACACCAGTTATGCTCCAGGGTCCCATTGCTGGCAAGTGAGCAGGCTCTTCTACTGGCATTAAAAATCTCTTCCCAGGCTCAGCAGGAGTTGACGAAACAGCTCTCCATCCTTCCTCGAGACAACTATAGCCTCCTGAGCTACATCTGCAGGTAAGAGGCACCTGGTATCAGTTCCATAATTTTCAGCCACACCAGAATGAATCCCCCAGTTAGAGGAGGAAAGAGTATCTCTGTGAACTCAAGAGATTCTGTTCCAGACCTCTGGAAGGTCAACTCTATTCACATAGCACTGAGGTATTTTCCTGTGTCCCCAAGATAATTGAAAGGATCCCGGAAAATCTAATCAGCATAAAAAGGAAACATGCTTCCTCCTTCAAGCCTGTCCCAGTGCTGCCCAGAGTCCTGGGACAGGCATTAAAACCCAGAATCCTTATAATATTTCTAGAATTATCTCCCATCTTCCTGTCTCTGGACCATAACTTAGCACCCCAGAGACATTCATTCCAGGCCACCTTTCTTAATTCCCTTTCTGAGGACGGACCTGCTATGTGCTGTCTCTGTGGCAACACATAGCATGTGGATTGAGCCAGATCTGGCTGAGTTGGGAGCCTGGATCTCCATGTCAGACATAGCTGAAAGGTATCTTTATTTATTTTTTATTTATTTATTTAATTTATTTATTTTTGGCTGCGTTAGGTCTTTGTTGCTGTACGCGGGCTTTCTCTAGTTGCGGTATGCGGGCTTCTAATTACTGTGGCTTATCTTGCTGTGGAGCACAGGCTCTAGGTGTACGGGCTTCAGTAGTTGTGGCTCGTGGGCTCTAGAGCACAGGCTCAGTAGTTGTGGTGCACAGGCTTAGTTGCTCTGCGGCATGTGGGATCTTCCCGGACCGGGGCTCGAACCCGTATGCCCTGCATTCGTAGGTGGATTCTTAACCACGGTGTCACCAGGGAAGCCCTACTTTTATTTTTTTTTAAATAATTTTTTGTAGTTTCCAGATGATAAAAGAGTTACATGCTTGATATGGAAACTAGGAGAATATAAAATGCTGTAAATAAATGAAAATTTCCCCAAATCCCCTCACCCAGAAAAAGTCACTGTTAATATTTGAGTGTGTTTCCTTCTGAATGTTTTTGTCTCTGTGATAGATGATCACATGCATCAATATAAATATAGGGAAACAATTTTTATACCAAATTGGAAATATACTTTTTAATAAAATATATATACATATATACTTTTATCCTGCTTCTTTTCACTAAATGTTGTGAGCATTTTCCTATGTCACAAAGTAGGATTATACATGACTCCATAATATTCCATAATGTTCCCTCATTTGGACACCCCTCCCCTGCCACTTATTCGATAATTTCTCTGTATTTGGAATTTTATGTTGCTTCAGCCGATTCACTTAAAAATGGTTTTGAGAGACAATATTTAGAAGTGTTTTTTTCTGATCTTTTCAGGTTTTTAAAATAGTGAATCTGAGAGCTTCATTCCTCAAATAGGTGGGATTACAGCAAAAATTCAGTGTTAGTTTTTGAGCACTTGCTGAGAATTTGAGATGCTTGGTGGTGTAACCTGAGGATGAGAGCAAGGAGGCACCATGAATTCCCATTTCTGAGATCTTCCCATGATTAAGTTTCCTTCTCTGGAGACTCCGCTGGGATAGGTGCTGAGAGCCTGGGAGAGAAGCCTGTAAAGTCAGGACCAGGGATAGTCAAACACCCATTTTAGTCCTTCTTGTCTCCTCTTAGCTCCCTGAACTGGACCCTGCCTCCTGCTGATGTGACTCCTCACCCACCCCTGGCCCCAGTGCCACCATCAGCAGCTGGGTTGCTTGTGTCTCTTCTTCCTTGATCTTGACTCTTTCAGGGGGAAGCTAAATTCTTGTAGTCAGAGCAGACTGGTCCCATTCCTGAGACCAGAAGTAAAAGGTTGAGACCCACCTCTGGGATCCTGTGGGTACCTGGAAGTGCTTCCTTGTGGCAACTTCCTATTTCCTACTCTGGGATTTCCTGGTTGCCCACAGGTTTCTCCATGAAATCCAGCTGAACTGTGGAGTTAACAAGATGAGTGTGGACAATCTGGCTACTGTGATTGGTGTGAATCTCATCAGGTCGAAGGTCGAAGACCCTGCTGTGATCATGAGAGGTATGCTGGTCCTGTGGTGAATGTAGGGGCAGAGGAAGTAAAGACAGTGACATTGCTACCAAATTGCTCTGCAATTTGCCAAGCATTTTCCGTTGATCATCTTGTCTGAGTTGTAAAATAGCCCTGTGAAATAAGCAGGCAGGAATTATGTTCATTTTCCAGGTCACGACAGAGCAGAGAGGTTAAAGATTTACCAATCATCACACAGTATGATAGGCTAGCACGAGAACAGTTAGTTAGTGTTTCTTAGTCTTTTAGTACTTTTAAACATCCTTAGCCGGAGAGAGCAAACAAGTGTGATTTTATAAGACAGCTCCCAAAGAGGTTACTTGTAAAGCTGCTCTGAAAAGACTTCTGAGGTAGTGTCTTGGTTCAGTGAACAAGAGTCCTGACACAGAGTACTGATGTCTGCCATGGTTTGGGGGAGGCAGTATGCCTGGTATGCATTCTCTATGCATGCAATAAGAAAGCAGATGTCATATTGAGGGTCACATCAAGAGAGAAAGACGTCTTCATTTTCTTTCCTGTCGTATTGCCTATAACCTGATCAAAGACTGATCCAGAAGACTGTAGGCCGAAAATAACCCTCTTTCACCCCCCACTGCCATATTCTTCTTCTATCCCATCCCATTCACCACAATCTCCTACCCCAAGCAATTAAGAAGGATCCTGTGAGGAGCAAATGAGGTCCTTCGGGGCCATGTGGTTTTAGAGTCAAGTTTAGAGACATCTCATGGGTGGAGAACCTTGAGGACCACCTGCCCTCTGCCCCATAGCCCAGCACTACAAATCTCTTTCTTCTTTCTTTCAGGGACTCCTCAGATCCAAAGAGTGATGACCATGATGATCAGAGACCATGAAATCCTCTTTCCCAAGTCCAAGGATGCACCCTTGTCACCCCCTGCCCCCCAAAATGACCCCAAGAAACCTCCAGTGGCGCGAAGCTCTGTGGGCTGGGATGCCACTGAGGACACTCCAATTTCTAGGACAGACAGCGTCAGTAACATGGTAAGGTGAAGAGAGCCTTCCTCCTTCCATCCAACTCTTCCTTCAGTCCAGGTCATTCCATGTAAGAGCTGCGCTGGAGTGGCGATTTAGGGAGTCCCGGATGATGCTGTGGCAGTGGGCACAGCTGATATAGACCCATTTGAATGAATCTTGAAAGCCTGGCCTCTTTCAAAATCTAGTTTCTAGTTGGTATCCTGGAGGTGGGATTGGTGACATGTGTGCCCATCCCCCAGTGACTAAGCAATGGGAGTCCTCACTAAAGCCCACTCTAAACCCTTTTAAACTCAGTCCAGGGAATTTCAATGGGGAAACTACATATCGCAGTGTTAATGTTCTAGTGAGAGTTGTTGAAAATTCCGGGTGAAAGTCCAGAGAGAACGGTTTCCTGCTAAGCCATGAAACGTGATTCCTTTCTCAGAGTATGTGATGTGTTTGTGTAATATTTCTCATTCCCTGATAAGCTTTCTCAGCAATGTCAACCCCCTCATTTGTACTGAAGGGTTGGGGCTCACGTTCACAATGTCAAAAAACTCTGCAGACTCTGAAATTTAGACTATTTAGGCCAATAATTTACAAAGCTCAAATATTTTAACGTATTTATAGAGGCAAATATTTTTTAAAAGAACGTGTGAACTTTATACAGCAGCTTAATTCTCTATGTGTGGTCAAGGAATGAATGTAAAATTTCCAGTTCGCCAGGTAATGTCATTTGCCTACTGTTAATCCCGAGGATGATTAAGAATGTATTGGAAAAAAGATGGTGGTAGTTGTGATATTTCTTGGGTGATGCCTGTCTGGACACAGTGAATTTACTAGAACTCTAAAATCAAATTAATATTTAGAAATGTTTATACGTCATATAATGAAATTATCCTAGGCGTCTTTGAGAGTAGCCAGTGTTGTGCTCATTTGACAGGTTTCTGTATTTATTGTAACAGTATGGGCAGCAATGGACAGGCAGTGTGCTGGGAACCTTAAATAGATCACATCTGGAGTCCTCACCGTTACTCTGTAGGGCAGAATTTATCATCCACATTTTATAGATGAGGCTCTGAGTCTCAGGGAGGTGCACCAGCTGTCCCAAGATGACAGCAGTAGAATGGTAGAGAGTGGGACTTAGATCTAGTTTGCACCTCAGGGCCCAGGTCCTTCTGATTCCAGGTGGGGTTGCCAAAGCAGGTGATGTGCTAGAAGCATCAGATAGACAGCTTGAGACCTGATTTTCTCATTTTAGGGCTCAATCTTTTTCTTTTTAATTTAATCTAAAAATATATACGCATGACTCAAGAAAGTCAAAACAAAAGAGATATGTTTAGAACTCCTGCTCCCTCTGCTGTCTTCACCCACCTTATTTTTCCCTGCCTTTATCAGTTTCTTTTTTATCCTTCCAGTGTTCCTTTATGCAAATATAAGCAGCTATGAGTGTAAATTGTTATTTACCTCCCTTTTTACACAAAGCATAACATGCTCACTCTCTCCCTCTCCACACACACACACACACACACACACACACACACACACACTACTGTGTATCTTGAACTTTTCTGTTTAACAGATACCCTGGAGACCTTTCCATGTCAATACATAGGCAGTACCTCATACAACCTCAAGTTTCTGGCAGATGTATGGTGTTCCATCCCGTGCATGTACCGGGATCTACTCAGCCAACCTCCATAGATGAACAGGTTTCTTTTACTCCTTTGTACAAGCAAGGATGCAACGAATAACCTTGATCATACTTCATTTTGTGCTCAGGCAAATATATTTCTGGGATAAATTCCCAGAAGTATGATTGCTGAGTCAGAGGGTAAATAGATTTGTAATAGGTAATTTTGATTAAAATTGTTAAACAGTGGTTGTGCCATTTTGCACTTCCACCAGCAATGCATGAAATAACCTATTTCCCTATAGTTTCGCCAGCAGAGTGTGTTGTCAGATTTTGGAGGATTGCCCATCTGTTAGACGAGAACTAATATTTCAGTAATTTTAATTTCAGTTTGAGTTTTTCCTGTTATAAGAGTGTTCAAACATTTTTTTTATGTTGCATTTTTCCTCCATGAACTCTCTGATCTTGCTCTTTGCCCGTATTTATATTAACCTTTTTCTTCTCAATTTTTATGAACTTTATGCATTATGGAGAGTAGCCTGTTGTCTGTGATATACATTGCAAATATGTTTGTCAGTTTGTCATTTCTTCTTTGATTTAGCATGTGGTGGTTTCTTTGTTTTATTTTTAATTTCGTGGGTCATGGAAACACATGTGGGTTGGATTTATCAAATTATTCTTATATGGCTTTTGTATTTGGGTCATAGTTAGTAAAGCTCCCCTCCCCCCCCATTCTAAGGTTATACAAAAATCCTAGTTTAGGGCCCCTTACCACAAGCAAACCATTGATTTTAGTCAGCAGTTTACCTCTAGAGCATGAGCTCCTTCAATTATAATATCCTTTTGGAAAAATGCCACACAGATAATCAACTAATGTGACAAATTAGGAGATGGTCTTCTAATTGAGTTTCATAGGTGTGTGGCCAGGAGACACTTTCTTTCAAGTCTCTAATCCTTATCTTGGGAACGTGACACGTGTGGGAAAAACCCATGTAACATCCGTGGTCACTTTTTTTCTAGGCCAGCGACTCAGATGCAACCAGCCCCACTGGACAACGGCCAAGTGATGGGTGTGTAGAAGACAAAGCATCGAGGGAAAAGCCAGGAGATTGGAAGCTGCAGTCACGAAAAAGGACTCAGACGCTCCCTAACCGGAAATGCTTCTTGACATCAGCTTTGCAAGGTGCCAACAGCTGCAGAGCAGAGATCTTTAAAAATGAGTTCTGGTCTTCTTCGGAGGGGAAGGCAGGGGACGGGCACAGGAGAACGATGTCTCAAGGTGTGCCACAGTTTTTCGACTCCCAGCGGACTTCCACCTACGATAACGTCCCCACGCAGCCGGGGTCCCCTGGGGATGAAGCCGGTACACTATCATCCCAGGCCTGTGACTCCAAGAGAGATGCTCTTGCCAGCCTAAACTCTGAAACCGGGCCTGGGAAAAAGAACTCCGGAGAAGAGGAACTTGAATCTTTGCAGAGGATGGTCCAGAAGCTGCGAAAGGAAATAGAAACACAGAAGCAAATGTATGAGGAACAGATTGAAAAGTAAGTCACATCCAGAGGGCCCTGGGCAGCCACTCGCCTTCCATCTTAAAAGCAATAGGGATTGTTCTCCTCTGCCAAAGAAGTGACATTATAAAACTTCAGTTACAGAAGACGCTATCTACAGCAGTTGGGCCTAATGAGGAACAGGGCAAAGGCATTGAGGAGATGATTAAATTAGTGAAAACTCTAAGCTGTACCTTACATTCATGAAAAGTTAAATATGTAGCTTAAGTAGTTTAATCAACTGTTTCCAAACAGTGGTTGTTTAGGCATCAACATGTCTTAATGAATTAAGAGACATTGTTAAAATTTTCATATTAATGTCATTCATCAACTCTGCAAACATTTATTGAGCATCTACTACGTGCCAGGCACCATCTCAGCTGTTGGAGAATAGCACTGAACAAAACACACAAAAGCCCTTTTGCTTATTGAGCTTTCCTTCTAGCGGAGACAGACAGAGAATACAAATAGATAATTAAAACATATGCTATGTTAGATGGTGGAAAATGCTAAGGAGAGAAATAAAGCAGGGCAGGGGGTTGGGGAGCTCAGGAAGGGGGTTCCAGTGTTACATAGGGTGGTTGGGGAAGGCCTCACTGAGAAGGTGACACTCGAGCAAAGGCCTGAAGGAGGGGAGGGAACTAGTGAGGTCCACGTGGGAGGGGTTGGGGTGGATTTGGGGGAGAGCAGGCAAGGCAGAGAGAACCGAAGTGCAGAGGCTATGGGAAGGGAGGGGTCTGGCGTGTTCA